AGCCAATATGAAGCGATTGACCGGGACCCCGGCGGTAGTCTGGTGCGAAGACGTCAAGGACGGATTGCATTTCCACTGCATCACCGGCTTGAGTTCCGGTGCCATGCATTTCCACGTAGCTCACTTCCTTGGGGTCGATGTTCGCATCATTGAGCAGCTTGTTGAAGATGAATGCTTGCGCACCAACGTGGGGGCGAGTAATTGACACGGCCTCCGCCGAGTGGTTGGTGTAAGCACCGTTAATGACTGCCAGGATTGGGTCGTTGTCGGCCTCGGCATCTTCGAGCCGCTTCAAAACGATGCTTCCAACTCCGTCCGCTCTACAGTAGCCGTCGGCGCCGTCATCAAAGGTGTTACAGTTGCCAGTGGTAGACAGGAAATGGCCCCGATCCAGACCCGCGTGGTTGTCAGGGTTGGTCAGAATGTTTACACCGCCAGTGATGGCGGCATCGCAGTCATTCCTCCAGATCGAATTGCAGGCCATATGGATAGCGGCAAGACTCGACGAGCACGCTGTGTCAACGCTCACACTTGGGCCGCTGAATTTGAAGTAGTAGTTTATCCGACCCGGCGTGAATGCTCGGTTACCGCCAGGGATGAAATAGGTATCAATATCCTGGCCGCTGTTGATCTCACGATAGTCGTCACTGGTCATTCCGTAGAAAATACCCACACGGTCCCTCTGTGTCGAGGGAGAGCTATCCGGGATGAAGCCAGCCATCTCCAGAGCCTCGTACGCTGTAAGCAAAGCAAGACGTTGTGCAGGATCTGCTTGGAGGGCCTCCCGAGGCGACATGTTGAAGAATCTGGGGTCAAACAGGCCGGGTTCGTTTATCCAACAACCGTAAGACACTTTACTCGTGTTCCTCTTTGACCCGGTCATGTCGACGTGGGCGTCAACGTCCCAGCGGTCTGCGGGGACTTTGCGATGTACGTCGAGTCCCTTGTACAGGAGGTCCCAGAAGGCCTCCGTACCATCCGACTCGGGAAACCTTCCAGACATACCGATGATAGCAATCTTCGAATTTTCTGCTTTGCCGGTGAGGTTCCGTGTTTCCGGGTTCATCACGATCTCTCCTACCCCAGTCTCCAAGCTGATGCTCACACCGGCCTTTTTGAGAACGGTGAACAAACTCTGGGTGGCGCTACTTGAGATCGGAAACAATTTGCAAGAGTGGTTTGTGCCGGTCTTGCAGACTGATGTGCAGGACTCCGTGACCTTGTCCCAGCATAGTCGTCGGAGTAGTATCTCCTCCAGTGCGACCTTGAAGAGATCTTTGATGGACTTTGCCTTGATCGGCTTCCCAGTGTTACTGGAGATGACGGGGATAGCGGGTGACCAGCCGGTCAGTTCCTCCAGAGCAGAGGATTGCTGCAGGATGCGTTCGATATCCCTGTCATCATACAGATGTGGCGCATGGTACGGGCCATGAATTGGAGCCTTCACTGGCTTGTAGTTCTTGGAAATGCAGGTCTCGACGAATTCATCAAGGACGGTGGGTGGTGCACTGACAGTAACACCATTAGAGCTTACCGCGCTGATATACGGCTTCGAAGAAGGTGGAGTAGCCTGCATATGTCAGCACCCTACAATGCGGGGAATAAAATACGGGAGATCACACCTTCTTACTGCTATATTCGTCGATCAGGCGGCTAGCCTCTACTTCGCTAATTCCAGAAACCAACGCTGACCAGCATGTTGACTCGGGATCGGCGGAGGCCACCAGTTCTCGAACTCGGAAAACGCAGATTCCCAGTCGCAGTGCAATTACAATTGCTTCCACTGCAGCTGGAATAAGCTCACCAACATTTCTGGCGCAACTTACAGCCGTGCAACTCAGAACACCAGTGCACAGGCCAACCAGATGGCTGTTGGAGGGCGTAGGGTAGTCATGTCCAAGATCCCCATAAAAGCTGAAGGCTTGTCAGACTTGTTGAGTATAATAGGCAACTAAATGACTTACTGAATGAAACAACCCAACTGGTAGATGCATGTCAACGCACTCTCCAGGACGGGGCTAGGTCCCGATTCACGGCTCCTGGAGAGGAGATCGACAATGCTCGTGAAGCGTGGGAAGAGCTTCCGTTGAGACGGCGGGAGCTTTGCGATCTCTTGACGGATCGCATGGAAGCATTGCTGGAAAAAAGACTGGACAATGGTGCTATTCTTCGCTTGGAGCAGACGGCGCAAGCCAGCTTCAATGTCGCTGGTCTGGTCTCCAAAAAGGTACACACGAGATGGACCCTCCATGTTTGCGGGAGATGTCTATTGATCAGTCAATCGCCGTTGTCAGACCAAAGTCCATCTGGCCTTCCCCAGCCGTGTCGATGAGAAGCACACTTTATACACATGTAGATTTAGGGCCCCCATGGCCAAGTGGGGGAGGGTGTCTCAACTACGGCATGCGCTGAACTGGTTAAGGTGCATTCCACGCGCATCTAGGGGGCGATTGCAAAGAGTTGAACTCAGCAGAGCAGCTCAATTGGGTTGCATTGCAATACATGCAGCGAATCGTGATGTTGCAATTAGTTGACAGGCACTAAATTGTTCTGGTGAGCTTCCAGTGTCCTTCAGTTTCCGTTTTTGCGGACCCTTCCCACACTGACAGAGACTGCTTCTGAGTGGACACGACCATGGCGGTGGACCAGGAGCACACCATCTGGGCACTCTGTGGAGTTACCCTGTTTGGAAATTCTAGACTTGGAACTCTGGTCCATCGAGGCCGACATCCTGTGGAGCTACCTCAACCGTCAGGCCACAACGTTTATCAAGGGGATATCGGTGTCTCAACCCCTGCTTCTGGTGGTAATCGAGCAACTAGGCAGCCGTGTTCTGGAAATGCATCAAGGGACGGCGTTGTGATGGCGAGCAGCGGCCGTTTGGCGAGGGGGGAAGGAGTCCTACAGAGGAAAGTCGTCGCCGCCCCATTTGGCGACGATCAGCAGCTTGCAGCGGGCACGTGACGAATGAAGAAGAAGTCTGGGGTGAAGATTCCCCTAACATCTTTCCTCCCTGGGCATGAGACACAAAATTCCGCGGGCCAGGCCGAAAGATTTCTCGCTTCGCCGATGATATCGGTGGAAACAACGCAGAGAGACGCATGCCGGAAGGCCAGGCAGTCAAGATCCGTGCCCTGTTACCCTGCATGTACCTTGCGTTTCCTACCAACGAGCTCCTCCAGAGTGTATGTTGGCTTATTCAACTTCCGAAACTCGGACTAACTAGTCAGCGAACGATGTCGAGAGAAACAAGGTTATTGTTGCTGGAATGTGGTCGGTGGAGTAGTAGTGGTGACATGACATGCTCGAAGCAGCTTGACCGACGGATCATTCTTCCTGCCATATCTACACGGTCCTCGAGCGCCGCCAGTTCATTTGCCTTGCTAGGGATATGGACTGTACTCAGTTCATGGATTTTTTACTATTCTGCAGGTGCGACTTGACTCTGCACCATTTCCCCTGGTTTAAAAGCATGCATGGTGCTCGAATATATAATCAACATGGCGAGTACCATTGGACTAGTTTTGAGTAGTTCAGCTGGCACAGTACTTTTACTCCGTGATCGGACGACTATGATGGCACGGATCCAGGGGGTTATGCTGAATCAGTATCGTCTCATATCCGCTTCGGCCATCCAACCTTCCATTCGAGTGGCGGGTCATGCTTGACATGTGTCCGACAAATGTCAAGGCTCAATAACTCGCCAAATAGCCAGGATGAAACCTTAACCACCGGGAATGTGTTCTAGATGGGTATTGGGGGCCACTATCGAGGAGTCGGGTTGATAAGGTTCATAAGCCGTGCTGCCACCCTACGTTCCACTCGTGTCATTGTGGTCCAAATTCGTTCTGAGTTAGCATTCTCATAATGACTCCTCGAGGTTAGTCAATCTTACAAACGATCAGCAAATGTCAACCCTGTTGCTATCATACCTCATGACGGTGAGCATAGCGAGGCAAGATAGCAAAAATGGGCTATTTGGAGAAGAAGCCAATGCAGGAAGTATGAATCAAGAGGCGGTATCCCTATGATCTGGCTGAGACATTGCCAAGGATCCCCCAAGAAGCCTCCCAGTAGGCTTACCAAGCTTCAACCTTAGTTACAGGAGCAATGCTTTGTCCCAGGATTTTGTACGGGCCAATAAATATAGTGCGTATCCCTAGGCTAAGGTAAACCTTCACAAACGAAGGAAATCCCAAACATGTCTCAAAGACATCGTATGCCTATCAAGCAGGCTTAAAAATCGGTGTCGACTCTCTGTTTCCTTGGAAAATTAAATCATGTCACGGTCCGTCAGACTATCAGCTTACAGTCCTCCATGATCAGGAGCAGGCAAACACAGTCGATAAAGATGCTTACCGTCGATGAAAAGTAGTGCACAGACTCGCCAACTGATGCCAGCCATTCCGGATGCGCGCCTCATTAAGGTTACTTGGCATGAGCCTCTCGTAAGCCTTGGAGGTTCTGTTGTTGAAGCTGCAGAGACTGTTCCGAACTGCGTCCCCTTCCACCCATACTGGCGAAGGGAAACTTTTTTCGGTATCATCAGCAGATACTCGGGCCAAAAGAGATCATGAGGTCTTGAATAGAGTTCAATCCACACAATAGCGTGAAAGTCCTGATGTATAGTACTGGCTGTAAATGAGTGTAATAAAATCCCCGGTATAGAAAGCCAGTAGGGGATTTACTAGATTAGCGTGGTCGAGGTAGGGTGGTAGACCTGTGAGTGGCACGTGTATCGCCGGGCCCGACTGGAACGATGACCATCCGCCTCACTCCGCTGTTACAGTAGCAGAGAAAACTTTGATGTCCATAGCATAGCACAGGATATTAGTAACTGCGACGAAGAGAAGGCTATGGATGAGATTGGTACTGCTTGGAAAAAAGCTAATTTTCATTCCCCCTCTACTTCCTACCCTACCATTAAATACGTACTACACATCGTACAGATATATATGCATATATATATCTACTACTGGCAATTTTTTGAGAATAGGACACTACGATCGATGATAAACTTTGCAGATAGCGGCATTGAGGCCGTACATGAACTTACTCCTCGTACGCTAGCCGCAATAAACTCGAGCGAGTAGACTGATATGACTCCCCATGACTTGACCCGAGGAAGGAATTCTAGAAAGGACATCCAGGATACGACAGTAAGCTTCGTCGGCCGGTAGATCAGTTTCCTCGGAATTGCGATGCAGACAATATCGACCATCATTACCTCAGCCAAGCAAGGGGCTGCGGCAGCTGACCAGTTGGGTTGGAGGGATTTTGGCCACATACCAGGAGATGCCTTTGGAGTCATCGCTTGATGTTACTATATCCAAAAAACCTCGCGGTCTGAGCTTCGAGTGAGAGTGTGATCTAAATCGTTGCCATCAGTTTGACAGACCTGGGAGCTAAGTGACAGACAGATTAGCTTATCATGAAGAATACCATCGGAGGAAACACCAGAAGGAGACTTATATACTATACAGTACCTCAACTGTTTCGAGGGCGGGTAAATTCTGGTCTAGTCTCTCATATGATCCGCACTGGTTTCTCTTCGAGGTGGGTACAAAGTAGTTGTATTGCACCACAAGTAGTAATCTATAGATGAAACACAAGTTGATTGGCAACCCAGGGGTGAATGTTCTCTGGGTGGTACAGCGGGTAGCGGAGGTACAACCATGGATCCTCATCTTGGGGGAGGGGGACCCCTAGTAGCCACGCGCGGAGTACCGTGGAGCTTCGTATGACCTATGATTGATTCTGAATGAGTTCGGTTATTGGTATGTTGAACTGACATCATCCAGCGAACAGAGTTATAAAGGGAGAGAAATCGATGTAAACTCTAGAGGAAGAGGATAATAGTAGTTGACTAGTGACTAGCAAAGAGGACTGTGCGTAATAAGCTTATCGATAAGGGAGGGACTAGTCCCGAAACGGAGCCCACGTAAACACCAAAACATCGATCGGGCCTCACCGTCCAGTTTCCCTTGAGTTCCAAGTCCATCTCTCTCTCTCTCACTCTTTCTCTCCCCCCCCCCCCCTTCCCTAGCTTCTCGCTCTCTCCTCCACTCACTAACTAACCCAACCACCCCCTCCCTTTAACCTAAAGCGTGTCGCATCCCACGCTGAACCTTCCGCCCCCCTTCTTCGCGTTCCGGCGTGCTACTCTCTTCCCTTGTTTTTGTTTTTCCTTTCTTGCCATGTGTTGGTCTACAGCTCCGTTACCCGGTCCTTAATGCTTCCGTTATTGTCTCTCGTTCAGCGACGGTGCGCTTGTAGCTATATTCGCCCTTTGACTTTCCTACCTCGTTGATACTTCGATCGGGCCCCGATACTGCATCATATCAATCTTCTGACACGTCAATTGCATATCCGATCGTTTTCTCCAGCAATCTGACGTCCGCTCTGGCTAGCAATCAGCGGTGGTGGTAGTAGTCGATCTCCGGTCCGCTCGTGCTCGGTCAATTCAGCCGCAATGGCCCCCGCCGCACCCCAGCTCCCGACCCGATTCCCTTGCTGGTGTCGCGCAATATATTCATGGGGTGGAGAAACCAAACGCGACTTGGGATTTGTGGAGGGCGACCTCATTGAGTGTCTAAATGCTGGCGATGGTCAGTGGTGGATGGGCCGATTGCGGCGAGACAGGCGCATGATGGGTTTGTTTCCCTCCAACTTCGTTGAAGTGCTCAGGGAGGATTTCGTACCTGTGCAACGGTCAACGAGCCCCATGCCACCAACTGCCTCCTCGCCAATCACGAATCCAACTTCGGCTCCTAAGAAACAGAAAACGGTCTTTCGAAAGCCATTCCAAGCCCATAAAGAAGCTCTTGCGCCTTCGGGTGAGCTATCCCGGAGCTCGACCTCCTCGTCGCCAGTGACCAGTACGATCCCGCAAACTCCACCCCGAGATGGCAGTCTTTCCTCGCGGAAGGTGAAACCGCTGCGCACCCCAACAACCGCTGTAAAGCATCAGAGCTCTTTGTCAAGGCCCGTATCCCGGTCCAGGCCTTTGTCCCGTGCGATGTCCCCGCATCCTCCAGCCGAACCAGATCCCCAACTTTCGTCCACCCTTCCTGGGACATACATGACCCGCAGACCTCCCTCTCGCGGAGTGTCGCCCCATCCGCCTGACCCAGAACTTCATCTTCCTGCCATCCCGCCTGCGCAAAGTGCACCACGTCCCGGACCTCCTCCTCGTGCGGTATCGCCAGCCCCTCCGCCAACCATCGATTACCAGCTTCCATCTCTCCCTCCTATGGAGGTTGCAATACAGAGACCTGCGTCTCGTGCAGCATCCCCATATCCGCCTGATGACGTAGATTTTATGCCTCCTCAGGTTCCGAGACACAGCATATCTCTACACCGGCCCTCCTCGCGCGAAATATCTCCACTTCAGCTGCACGAGAGAGAAGACTCGCCGCCCCCTCCACCCCCGCCACCACATAGAGTTGCTGTCAATCGTCAGCCGTCTATCGAACCACATGTTCCCACACGCCTGGACATGAACGATCGTTTTGTCACAATGTCAAGGACGCCATCACCGGCTGCCCATTCCGAGGGCCGCGGACACACCCCGTCGCCCCTTCGTGATGCGATGGAAGACGTGATGACTTCATTGGAGGATATGGGACTGCCCCGAGGCGGGCAGTCACCGTCGCCGCAGCCGATGTTCAACAACCCGTGGTCACCGGACGCATATGAGAGCTTCCGTGAAACTCGGCCCATACAAACCTCCCGTCGGCCGCTAACCTCTCTGGGTTTTGATGGAGACAAGGAGTACCAATATCATGGCAGTCAGACTCATAGAAACAGCGTCTACGCACATGATCCCTACATGGACGGTCCGCCACAACTGAACAACTATGTACAGAGGATGGAAAGTCGACTTCGGCAAATGCAAGAGCAGAGTCAAAGGGAGGCTGAGGATGCGCAACATTCTGATGAGGAAGCCCCACCGCCTCCCCCAAGAAACGTACCATACCATGCCCGGCATAACTCGATCCCCGCCCAGTACCCAGTGGTAAGAGGACGGAGGTCCGGCCAAGATCTCCGTGGGGACCTGCTCAATCGGTCATATACCAATAAGTCCAGCACGACAAACTCTTCGAGCGGGGTGCACAGTACGAGTACGACACAGACGGGAAGCACCGAGAGAACCAGCCAAAGCATCATGAGTGGGCCCTCAGCCGGTGGATTCAGCGCAACGAGTGCGGGTAGTTATGCCAGGAGAGGTACCACTCCGGCCGAGAGACCAAACACGGCAGTCGACACGTTCCGCTCGAGAGGCTTCAGCGATGTCTCCCGGGTGGCAAGGCCCGAAACGCCGTTGACCGGTATATCGTACCATTCCAGCCATAATACCTCTCGGCAAGGTGCGTCATCTGCCATACCCTGGTCGTCCGGTGAAGGCGGCGCAGAAGAGCCGACCGCTGTGTTCGGTGGCCTTTCCACACCAAAGGCCAAGAAGCCAGGGTTCTTCAAGAAGATCTTCGAGTCAGCAAAGACAGGCGCTGCCAACGCGAGGAGCAGCATCGCAGTCGGGCACAATGGTGGCTCTTCATCGCCCACTAAGGGCAGAGGGATCTCGCCAATCCGTGCTCTGCAATCCAGCCGGGACTCTGCCCGCGAAATGGGGCCTGGCACCAGCGCCATCGATTGGGTACAGGTCCGTCGCGATGTAAACCGCGCAAGCTCGCCCAGTCGAAACGAGAGAATCGAACGGGCTGAAAGATGCCAAATGATGGACCACCCTGTGATCTATTCGGTGGAGGAACTCTACGAGACGGCGGAAGGCGATGAAAGCATTGACGGCTTGCCGATCAGTGAGCCGACCAACTTCGCCAGTGTCAACCTGAACCTTGTGGACAAGAGCGCGCGTTTTGTCAACAGTCTTCCCCCAATGACGAATCCGGCGAGTTTAGCGCACGGGTATGTCTGCCGCCCTTATAAGAGTGATGTCCAGAGGCTGCGCGCCATCTTTACTTGGGTGAGCGAAAAGATCGCCTGGGATGACCCGGTTGAAGAGATCGGCATCGATTTGAGGCGGGTGCTGCAGACGAAAAGAGGCAGTCCCCAGGAAGTGGCCTATCTGGTCAAGGAGATGTGTGCGGCGGTCGGTCTCCATGCTGAAGCGATCAATGGGTTCCTCAAAGGCCCTGGGGAGATGTTTGACCTGGACGGCCTCTCGCGACCCAACCATTGGTGGAACTCGGTGCTCGTGGATGGCGAATGGCGCATCATGGACTGTTCGCTGGCCAGCCCTACGAATCCGCGACGGAACCAGTTCGTCACCAATAACACTTCCGTGGCCGAAAGCTGGTATTTCCTGGCACGACCCTTGGAGATTTGCTATACGCATGTTCCTCTTGCTCCTGAAGAGCAGCACATCTGCCCGCCTATTTCGCCAGACGTTCTGCTGACCCTCCCGGCGGCCTGCCCACCATATTTCAAGCTGAATATGCAATTCCCCGATTATGATACTAGCATCATCCGGATTGACGGCTTGGAAGTCATGCAGATTCGCCTTTCAGTGCCCCCGGACGTGGAATGTGCGGCCGAGGTGGAAGCCCCAGCGTTTGCTCGTGACGCCGATGGTGATTTCTTCGAAAGCGGCGAAGTTGTGCGCAAGCGTGCGCTGGTGCAGCCCGACTGGGTCAGTGGACAGAAGCGGATTACGGTGAAAGCTATCCTGCCCGGCGATGAAGGACAGGGCACAGTCAAGGTGTATGCCGGCAAGAAGGGACTGATGCACTCCAGCCGTGATATTCCCCACCCGTTGGCTCTTGCCCTTCCCATGCTCCACAGCAGCGATAACCCGCCGTACGATTTTGTGCTGCGCCATCCGACCCCTCACGCTCAGCGACATGATCTCTACATCATGCAGCCGCAGTGTGCGAAGCTGGCGGTCAACAACACCTTCGTTTTTGCTGTGCGCCAACACCCAGCCTCCCCGGCTTTGTCGTCCGGCAGCAATGAGGCTGGCGTCAGTGGGCGTGTCTCACCGTCGGTCTTCACCCGGCCTGCGAGCGCATTGAGTATGGTTTCCAGTTCCGCGGGTGGTTCCACGGTGTCCGGTGTGTCCAACGAGTTCTCTGCCTCGACATCGGCCATTTCGTCCGGCCGGTCGATGTCCGGACGCGAAAAACCGGCCAAGCTGGCGATTCAGTCTCCATCAGGCAAGATTCTTCGTCTGACGCGGAAGCCCGAGCATATGCTCAGCCCCCACACAGGCACACACGCTTTCACCGACGCGCCGGCAGATGGCAGCGTCTGGGAGACGGTGATCAAAATTGGCGAGCGCGGCGTGTGGCGAGGCTTGGTATTGGCCGACCGAGTTGCACGGTGGTGTGTCTTTTGCGAATGGGAGTGTTACTGACCGAAATTCCCAACTGCCGGGCTTGCATTTGGGAACATTTGCCAAGCAAACGCGACTGTAATCTAATCTTTTATTTGTGTTCATCTACGGAGACTTCTTCGTCGACATTTGTCTAATTGACAGCATTGCATCCGGTCCGGGACTGGCATCTGTACCAGGACATCATCAAGGGGCAGCAGGACGTGATCTACCCCTACATGTTACTACCATCATATTGAGGCGTTTCCGGAAAGACCATGATGGCGCCGGTGTTATTCTTTGTTCTTACTCTTTTCCTTCTTGACTGTTTCAACAATTTTATTTCATGTTTTTATGCATTATGGTTTCTGAATTATGGGGCATCATGTCTGATGATATGGCTGTTTGGGGCTTTATTCAATCTGCAATGAACTTACTGCTACGATCTAGAAGCATGACTAGAACGGTTGGTGCTGTGAATCAGGTCGGGATACATCGAAATTGGTTCTTTTTTGCTTCAGTTGTGTTGTGTTATTGTATCTATTATGTGTTGTGCTGGGGCTTTGAATACGGGCTCACTGGTCAGTACCCATCAACAGTCGCACAGTCAGTCGATTCTGATAAGATAGATATAGAACCATATCTGATTGTGACGTGGCTGGAGCAAGAAGCAATTAAATAATTAACCCAATTATATCCACCCATCTATATATTCAAAAAGCATATATACCCAAGAGATATACAAAGTAGATACTGAGTTACAAAGACTTCACTGCGTCCCTAATCAACGGCGCCACCTGCTTCCGACTCTTCGTAACATCCTCCTGCACCCAGATCCACTTCCTCCACGACTGGCCATCATCTCCTTTCACATCCCCCAACTCAGAACTTTGACTCTCCTCATCTCCATCCAACACCCTCCACTTCTCCAACCCCAACTGCACACCCGCCTGCTCCTCAAACACTTCCACGCCACGCACACCACCTTCCCCAGTCGCACACACCAACAACTCCCGACAAAACTTCCCCTCCGCACCACTAAACGCCGTCATCACCATCACCACATCCAACTCCTCCCTCTTCGCATAATTCACCACAGCATCAAGTAGGGCCCCCGCCCCGCCAGCTTTCCTCTCCAACCACGGCAATGACCGCACCATGGAACAAATCCCAATTTTCACCTCCCTTTCTCCCTCCTTCTTCTTCGAAGAAGGCAGTTCCCTCCACTCCTTATAATCCCTCTCCAAGACCTCAGGAACAGTCAACAAATCCAAGCTCCCCTGCTTGGCAGCCACCACCTCCTCAAAGAACTTATTATGATCCCAGGGCTTCCCAGCCGCATCCCCATCTCGATTCGAAATCGCATTTATCTTCGATCTCAGGAAACTATACGCAAGCGTATCCGAGTCCGTGACCTTCTCCTTGGCGGTGAAGTTCGCCGTGTCGATGAGGATCGCGCTCATGGCTAGTTTCGCTAATTGGAGTTCGGATGATAGCTCCTCGGGGGTGGAGGTGGCAGAGGAAGTGCGTCGCCAGCGGTCCATTTTATCCAACATGTTGACGACGAGCGAGGTGCATGACCCGGCGGGTTGGAGGAGGAAGGGCTGGTCTGGGTCTGTGATTGGGGCTAGGAAGTGTTCGTCGACGTGGTGGTCGATGCAGCCGAGGACGGTGAAGGTGAGGTTGGGGAGCGTGGGGAGGGAGCCTTGGCCTCGGGGTTGGGTGGGGGAGCGGATGGGAAGGGCGTTCCAGTCGACGAGGACGGCGTCGGCGGTTAATTTATTATCGTCGTTGTTGTGATTGTAGTCTTGGAGGTGAGTTGCAAAGTCGGAGACGGTGAGGATGTGTTCTTGGAGAAGAGGGCCGGCGGACTCGGGCGTGTCGGACCATGTTTCTTCGTCGGGGACGGGGGGGTGCGTGGAGAGCCAGAGGGATTTGATGAACTCAGGACGTAGACGGCGTAGTTCGGGGCCTGCAGGGACAGTAGGGAGGTTGATTAGGGGGACGTGAGGCCGGGGATGGGCGAAGGAGGCGTAGACAATGGCGGAGATGATGGAGTCGAGGTCGGCGGAGGGGTTGCCGATGACGTAGATGGGGGATTCGGCACGGGAGAGTCGGCCGGCGAGGAAGCGGTGGTGGGTTTGGAGGGCTTTGGCGAGGAATTGGAAGAGACTGTGCTCGGGAGGAGGCATTGTAACGGGTTTATCAGGGAGGATGTGCAGTGAGATTGGGATTGGTGATGTTGTTTTGGAGTCGAAAATATAAGATGAGGGGATAATTCCTCATCGGGGAATCTCCGCCGCGGAGAGGCAGAACTTGACCGCCTATGGCATCATCAAGATATTCAGCTATTCATGGTATCACTGACATCTCATCTAAATGATATCTCTAAACCAAGAATCTCTTCACCAATCTCTGCTGTAAGTCAATTCCATTCTCAATTCGTAGGTACTCACACACTACTACTAGTACTGTAGTATTAACGTACCCTCCAGATATACTCCAACCTCCCTGATATATACTCCGCACCATTCCCCTCAACACTGACAACATCACACTGAACACCGTATTCTCGCCCTCCAAACCACCCAATTCACACTCAATTACACTTTAACTACAACACCATGATCCCCCTCCCCACCCCCTTCTCCCAGATCCCACGCTACCCCCTCCTCTACCCAACCCCATCCCCCATCCACCCACTCCCAACCCTAACCAGAACCCTCCTCAGATCCCCATACACAAACCCCACCACCAACAAGAACATAAACACAAACATAAACATAACCCTGCACCTCAAACGCGAAGACCACGCCTCCCCACTGACCTCCAGCGGCAACAAATACCGCAAACTCGAGTACCTAATACCAGACATTCTTTCCCCAGTACCAAAATACGGCTCTTTAGCACCAGGACCCGATCACGGAACCCTCACATCCCCACAGGAACACCATACCAACAGGAAGAACAACAACAAGGAAGTAACCCTAGTAACCGAAGGCGCCCTCCAAAGCAACCACACCATCCAAGTAACCAGCATCGCGAACCACCTGAACCTCCCACGGCCGGTGATCATCCTCCACAAAGCGACGGGGGGCGGATACGCCCAAGTACCAGACAAGAGTCTGTTCGAGAGGACGGGGAATGTCCAGGTTGCGAAGTTGTTAGGGGCTGATGTGAGGGTTTTGGATTCAGCTACTGTTACAACATCCACATCCACATCTACAAATAGAGAAGAAGAAGAAGACCAAGATGGGGTACATTCGATCTTCACAACCCTCCAATCCGAAAATAAATCCCCCTACTGGATCCCCTCCGGCGCAAGCCTCCACCCCCTAGGTGGACTGGGATACGCGCGATGCGCATTCGAAATAGCGTACCAAGAAACCCAACCACCATTACAACCCGGGGCCCCCGCCCCAACCAACCTCGGAAGAATGGACTACATCTTCGTGGCATGCGGCAGCGGTAGTACCCACGGGGGACTAATCGCGGGATTAAAGCTCCTCGAGAGGCAAGAACGAGAAACACACCACCAAGATCCCGATTCCACTGCCCGCCGCCCACCGAGAAAAATCATCGGCGTGCTCACCTCCCCGACGCGCCCGCGCAGCTACCACGAGAGCAGAGTATTGCAGTTTGCGCGACAAGCGGGGCGACTCATCGGGATTGAGGATGTGGAGAGGGAGATAACGATGGAGGATGTGCATGTTGATGAGCGGTTCGCGGGCACGGCGTATGGGGAGGTGGATGATCAGACGGGGGATATGGTGCGGTTGATGGCGAGGGAGGAGGCGGTGTTGTTGGATCCGGTGTATACGGGGAAGGTGGCGAGGGGGATGGTGCATTGGGTTAGGGAGGGGGAGGTGGGTAGGGATTGGGTTGAGAGAGGGGGAAGGGAGGGAGATGGGGTTGGTGTTAATGTGTTGATGGTGCATACGGGGGGACAGTCTGCTTTGAGTGCGTATGCGGATGTGGTGTAGATAAGACATTTACTGCTGGGGTGGCTGTGTGGATTGTAGAATATAGTAGAGCTACTGCACATAGGCTGAGGAATAAGGTCTACTGTATTGAACGATTGTTGGTTAATGTCACATCGAACGCGCTCATCGAGCGACTGACTAAAAAAATAGAAATACTGGAGAAAGCGCAAAGACAGCAGTGTACATTGGCCTGAGAAAACAAAAGCCACCCCTTGGAAGAAGGAACAGTGAAATCACACACAAACAACTATCAAATAAGAATAGAGAAGACAGGAAAACACCACGCAATGCGGAGACGGACTAGCCAGGTCTCCGTTGTCTTCGTGCACCGAATTCGTACAAACCACAACAAGAATTTTTAAACAGGATCAAGATCCCATCCGAGCGAATCGAAGAAGACTTTAAGAGCAAAACAGCTGGCATCCCAGTGAACAACAACACCGTTAACAATCCAGGAACAACACAAAGCCACCAGCAAGTCTGGAAACGCCGCAGAATGCCGTGTCATGCAACGTTAAAAGGTTAAGGAAAGAGAACAGTTTGAGAAAGAGAAATTCCGGACATCCCCATGAACCCACTAAACATACTATCGGTCAAGTTGGTCGAGAAAAATTTTTGAATTATCGGTAGGAAAAGGTTCGGTCAAAGCTCATCAGCATGGTCGTCTGCCTCGGCATGGCCGTTGGTGTCCCCGTTCAATTTGTGATCAGGAGAGTCTGCATCAGGCAAGCCATCAGAATCATCCCCGTTGCTCACGTCGAGAACCTCAAGCGCCTCGTTGGCGTGCGTGTTCTCCATAAGCTCCGGTTCAGGTTCTTGGTCCGGATCCTGATCTTGGTTCGTCAGGTCGGCGAACACATCATCGAGGTTCTGGCGAGGACTGCTGTCGAAAGGATCACGGCTGTCCACATCCACTCCAGGAGGCGCGTCATTGTGGTCTCGGGTATACCGAGGAGAGCTGAAGAGGGACGTGTCTAAACCCTGGTGCGGTAGAGTGGGAGATCGCGGAGGGAACGACGGCGAGTCGGCTGAAACATGAGGTAAGAACGCAGAGGACCCTGGTGCAAACGCCGGGGTAGAGTCGGTGGCAGGAAGTGAGTAGTTTGCAGAGAAAGGATACGGCGGGTTTGGAGCATCCGCCATCGGCGTCAGCGTAGGACCACTGCGGCCCGAGTCCGAATTCGAGCCGTCGCCCGGCGTCTGGAGTATGGAAGGGCGGCCAGTCTGAGATTCAATTGACTTGCGCTTGGCAAAGTTGGGCTGTTTAGTGCGAAGGTGAGGAGGCAGGTCTTCAGGCCGCTCCACGCCGAGCTGAGCCATGATCTTCTGCTGCTTCGTGGGGCGGGGCTTCCGAGTGGAGAGCGACTGTTCCAGGATCGGCGGAGGCTCGGGGGCAACAGGCGCCCACTTATGGATCTCTTGTCGGAAGAAATTCGTCTCATATGCCAGGAGAACCTCCGCGCCCTCAATTTTCCGCAGGTAGAAGATCAACGTGGGGACCTCCTCCGTAGTGGTACAAGCAGCATTGGTGAAGCTGTGGAGGAAGTCCCGGAAGGTCGTGGCTTGGTTGATAATGTTATCCAGGATCTCTTCCTCGTCTGGTTGGAAAGGCAGACCAGCAATCTCAGCCTGCCATTCCAAGAGATCCTCCAACTTGGGCCGGGCAGCATCTCGAGGGATCTTCTGACGCCAGTCGCAGATCGGGCACGTGTATTTGTCGAATTCCTTGACCTTACCCCTTGCAATCTTCAGACACTTGCCGTGGTACCTGCACACGAAGTAAGCATGGTATCGCCCTTCAAACAGCATCAACAAACTTACCATTCGTGACAAACCTCACACTCGATCATCATGCCAGCTTCTGAGTGTCTGCAGATGCAAAACACATCCCGTTTCCGCGACTTCCCACCACCCCACATACTAGGAGTGCTGGTACTTTCCAACAAACCATCTGGGGTATTATCTCGCGATGCCGGTTCGACAGGCGGCCGACAGCGATCTTCCAGGTCGAAGCAATATGAATTGCGCTTCTCGACATACTCCATATGTGACTTCAGGATGTGCAGCGGGGCATTCGCCTTGCCAAATAATTTCTTTCCCTTCCTCATCCAATCCTCATGACGCTTTTGCTCACGCTCAAGGTCAATCGCACCAGTGGGCCGGCTGTTCAACTCCTCCAGAGAATCCATGAGCTCCCGGACTTCCTTGTACTTAGGACGGTTGCGAAAATCCGGATCCCGGCTCCGGTCATACAGACTTTGGATCCTGCGCTGGGCTTCGCGTTGTTTGGTCAGGATTGCGTCTACAGCTGCCAGGGTATCAGGGGACACTGGGAACCGGGATGCCTGCGCAGACAAGGCCTCGAGTTGCTGGTAGTGAACGGCTTCTACGGACATCAACTCCTTGGCTTTTGCTTCCCAGGCCTCACCGTGGCGACACAGATCCTTGAAGTGGAGTAGGTGGTCGTTGGTCTCCGATAGTCCTAGTTGCTCGCCGGCCTGGATGATCTCCTGACACTCCTTCAAGGTCAGGTACCGATCCCGTTTGCGACGGGCTTCCTCGTTCCATTTCATTTGCCGGAGTATGTGCTCTAGTCCCTCAACCTCGGGTATATCCACGTTGAAATTGCGCGCGGATTCCACCAGATCCTCGACTTCCTGGACCGATCGGATGTTGGGGTTCATGAGGGCAACGTTAACGTCCTGGCGGAATTTCTCGATCTCGCGGGTCTTCTCTTCCAGAGCCGCCATCTGTGGACAGTCGAACGACAGTTTATCAGCCTCTGCAAGAAGGGCGTAGATGTTTTCTACTCTGCGAACTTCACGATCACGTTCTTCCAGCTGCGCAGCTTTAGAAGTCCCCTTGCGCCACGCCTTCTCGTTCTTCCTCCGGTTCTGCTGCTTCCGGGTAATGTAATTGGTTGCTTCTTCAACCCATTTATCGCAACGCTGGACGAAAGCCGCGAGATCTTGGAGACCAGGCAAATGGTATGGGATTTTCTCACCTTCATTAAGTAGGTTATGAAGGACCTTCAATTGGGGCTTCGGCTCGTCTTCCAGCATTTTGTCGAGCTTTTCTCCCCAGGCCTCCGGGATCCTGGCGCGTTCCTGGACCTTTAGTACTAAGGCCTTCAAGGCATCATCACCTATTCGATAGCGCAGTGTGTGGTCCGGGCCAGTTAACCTTTGTGTTAGCGGTTCGCCACAACAATCATACGTTTCCACGTGGGGCAGGCACACAGTCTTCCCAGTCTTATGGCATCGGAACTGCGCTAGATAAGTATAGGCCTTGCAATACTGGCACTGATAATCATCCTCGGGCAGGTCTTCCTCCTCAACCACAAACTTGAGTTGACAATTCCCCGTAGCTGCAGGGTCTTCAGAATACAGGGTGCAATTGTGCGGAGCCAGCTCCCGATGTCGGTTGGCAAACGTCGCTCGATCGCTCAATTCCCGCGTGCAGGCACGCTGAAGTGCTGGTGCCAGCCACTTAGCCGTGGTGATAGATTGATCACGAGCCGCAGCTGTCAAAAGGAGCTCGTCATGGGAGAAACACGGGTGTCGACGGAAATCTTGAAGTCGCTGTACCCCCATGGCACCCCAGGGTTCCCAGTCCGCGGGCGCAAAGTTAACAGCCTCGTTGAAGTTGAAGCCATGGTTGAACCCGGCATGGTATGCCTGCGGGAAAGTGATCACAAATTGACCCGCCCGCTGATCCAGTGCATACACCCGAACGCCGGCCTTTCTCAGTTGATCCGGGGGCATTAGCGTGACCAACTGGAACAGAAGGTCGGGTTGGCCCTCAAACAGCTCCGGTACCGCCTGCCGCATGGCTTCCTCGAATGCCTCGGCATCCGCCCCGGGAATGCCGTACCAAGTCTTGGTGGCGCCAAAATGCTGGTAATTGGCCGAATAAGCATAATGGTCTTCATTGTGCCAGCAGAACGTCGAAAAGCACATGCCAACATAGACCCAAGGGACAGTCATGCCGGAGATGTCAGACTTGATATGGCGGAACAGGGAGTCTCCGTGAAAAGGCATCACATTCAGATTCCAAGGATCAACCGAGTAGGGATCCAGCGGATTCCGTTCAATGGTGGGAAAACCACTTCCATGCGTAGTTGAATGGATATCCGCCCCGTACTCGACCTCAACCGTCTCCGTCAAGCTCTCCACCAGTCGCCAGAATTCACGCTCAACATCATCCTCAGATTCACGCCGGTGAGTGTTGAGCACGGGGTCGAAAGGCATCTTGGAGGCGAAGTAGGTTTTCTTGAAGTTGTTCGCCTTCTCTTGAAACTGCTTGAGCGAATACACGCCGCCCTCTTCGAAGCCAAATTCGCCGGTACCGACCAGGCACTTGGGGCAATGCCAGTCATACTCAGGGACCGTGGTCAGGGGTGGATCGAGACAGGATTTGTGATACCCATGATCACAACTATCACACACTAGAATCGACGAGCGTTCCTCCGATTTGCCACATATTTCGCATTTCTGACTTTAGTTAGCACTGAGACAATGTAACAATGAAGAGTAACATACATCACCCGTCTTCCGGTGATCGCTCTTGCGTTGCCGAGGTGGTGCAGGACGCAGGAGGCTCATGTGTGAGCCCGATACAGTGGGCAGGGGCGCATCTGAGCAAGAAGGGTTAGACAGCGACTACTACGTCTACAGAAAATAGGCACATACCTTTCCGAAGTCGCTTGCTCCGTCGACCATTAGCATCAACTTCACCGTTTTCAGCGTGCGATGCACTCTCGTGGCTGATCGCGCGCTTCATTGGCGGACCCGCATGGCCATTGGAAGCGGCGCTTGGATTGGCCGGATGCTCAGCGATACTCTTTGGAGTGAGAGAGCCATTGTCGGCTTCCCGCTTCACGGCGGGGCCACTATTCACAGCCACAAAAGATGGTGATCGGTTGACGGCAGTGAAACCACTCGAGCCAGCGTTCACGGGTGTAAATCCAGACGCGATCGGCCGAGCAGGCTCGATGGGCGGTGTGGGCTTCTCTGGGGTTGCCTCGACCTCCTTTGCCGCACTTGGGGGCGCAACTGGATTGCTCGGTGCGGGCTGAGGCGTGGCCGATGGCGTGGCGCTGTCAAGTGATACGGGCTTTTTGGGCATGGGGGAATGGTTCGGGGACGGTGTATAAGGACCACCATGTTCCAGCTCCAATTGTTGCTGAACCCCGGGCTTGGCCACACGCAGATACTCTTCGTATGGCTGAAGCCATCTTTGATACGAATTCTTAAGCGATGTGGAGAGCGAGGACATGATTTTGCCACTGTAGCCCAAGTCGCGCCCAATCTCGGCCCATTTCTTCATCTTGCAGACTTGATCAAAGCCACCACGGACCTCCACCGCCTTTTTCAATTTGTACAGATCAAGCGGACGTTTGTCGACGCTCGGAAATCGGTTGAGGTTGGTGCCATGTTGCTTGTGAAACTTGGCCAATTGATCGAGGTAGTTCAAGTTTGCACGAGTTCCTGAGTCCGCGTCAGAACTGGGCTGCGGAGCTCCACCGGCAGCTTGTTTGGCTGAGCGCGGGGGCATACCTCCTTCAACCGAGTTGAGCTCCTGCCGACGGGTTTTGAAATGGAATCGCTAGAAGAACGCGTTGGTCAGCCCTATTTAGCCCCCACAGGATATCCCAGACTGGAGTCACTGCAGCTCTTTGTTTGCTCCATATCAAGCAAACAAGATCGCAGGAGCACTCGCATACCTCTGTATCTATAGCAAACGTTGGTTGCCAGTTCTCAGGCGGAATGATCCGGCAAATTCCATATTTCTTCCCCTCCGGCGCGATCTTGCGGATGTATGCCTCGGGATCCTTAAACTCCTCCTCTGTCGGCCGGAAGGTGGGTGCCTCTTGTAATCCATGGGGGCGCACTCGTGTACTCGGTTCGCGAGGGGCATTGGATTGTCCACGGCGCTCGACGGTGGACAAGTCGAGGGGTTCGGACCTGCGAGCGCTCAAGGGAACATTGTGAGAATGCGATGGGTGAGTGCTGGCCGATCGAGTGGGTTGGCGACTCGTTGAAGGCTGCAGGCCTGTAGAGGCGCCTCCAGCAGAGGCCGGAGCCACCATTTCTGAGGGGCGACAATGGTTTTGAGGCGAGAGAGAATTTGCGCGTGGTTTACCGCGGACGGAAGGGGGCCAGCATCCGATGCGAAAAACACATGGAGGAGGGCCAGATCAACTGAGAGAGATGGAGTTTAGTGTCGAGAACCGAGGATAGAACACCTGGTGAGATTGGATGGAAGGAAGAAGAAAGTAGGGCCGAGGGATGGATGGAGAGGGGAAGGAGATGGGGGAGATAGCGAGGGAGGTGAAATTGATGATGATAGAGAGCAAAAGGGCAGCCAGCTAGCAGATGGACTGTCAAAGGGCAGGCCGAGATGAACCCGGGAGGGCTAGTGTGGAGAATCTCGGAACAGGAACAAGGATTGGAAGAGTAACGTGCTCACCCCAGGTAAAGAAAAAGCCGGTCAGCAGCAGATAGAGAGAGTGGGAGGGAAGAAAAGAGAGGGATGAGAAAGAGAAGGGATCGGGGGGAGGATCAGGATCCCGTAGCAGGGGTGTTTTCCGTAGGGTAGGGAAAGTAGTAGTAGGGGAAGTAGGAGGTTTAGTTTAGAAAATGGGGGTTGAGATTTAGCAGTCGTGACGATTGGAGGAATTGACCGTAGCCGGAAGTAGTCCTAGCTAGTAAGGTAGTTCGCAGGGAAAGCCACTTGGGCCAAACCAGGTAGTAGTAATAGTAGTTTAGTTAGTAGCTAATGGGGCACTGCTTGGGCGTTTTAGCTGACTAAAAAGACAATCATGGATGAAAATGATCGTCTAGATAATAAGTCAGTCTAGTCTGGTTATCGAGATGTAAGTAAGTAGATAGATAGGAAGTTGTTGTTCCTATCCACAACTTTCCCCCGTCCCGTCAGACCTGGACTGGAGAAAGAGGACCACCAACCCCAAGTGGATCGGCAACTGAAGAAAAAACTATCAGATGCCGAATTCGTCTGGAGTAAAAAAAAAGAAGAAAATGGATGGAACGGAAGATCGAGAAAATATGCTAAGGGGAAGAAGGGTGTGCAGAAAAAAGGGAAAAATAGGAGAGGGAAAATAAAAAAGGATAAATCAAGACAAATGGAAGGGGAAAAAAGCAAATGGGTGAAGAAAAAAGAAAACGTACTTCACAGTAAGAAAGTCAGAAGCAGCAAGTCAAGCCAAGTCCATCCGTCAAGAGAGAGCGAGAAATGGAAATCGTCCTCTCGATCCATGATTTGCATCGGGATATTCTGGCCTCAGGCAGCAAAGAAAGGGTAGCGAATACAACAAAAGCGGTAATCAGACATTCCCAAATAGGATAGGCTCTGTTACCGTATGAACGTATGGAACCGGGAAAGATACCAGCTGGACTTCATTCCATCCACTTCTTGCCCGCAAACGGTGATGTAACGACTTTCGACGACCTCGGAAGAAGGGAAACTTTCCTGCCTTTCCACTTTTCCAATATCCCCAAACTCAATACCCATCTTTTCTCTCTTGGATTAACACAACCTTTCCTAGCTAGCACCTACCTTATTATTACTTCTACCTTTGTACGATACTTTTAACTGGTAATGCTCTATATGAACAACTTATGGTTATACTCTATAGAGGAAGGTCGACAAGTAATATAACACTGCTTATTTCCCAATGGCACGTTTGTGTTTGATTTTCGCTATTGATTACTTAGTCTGTATAAAGCTCCTACTTACATACAAGTGAAGCTCAGCTCCACTATCCTGTTCTACTGCAGGAGATGGAAGTTTCGATTAGAAACAACAAAGAAAAAGAAAATATAAAGGACTGGACAAAAGGAAACATTGCATGGCATATTCATTCAAGAGAGAAAAAAGAAACACGATACTATTTAGTAAGAGAATTTAATTGCGCACGCCATCGGGGTTTGAAGGTCCAAGGAAAAGTCCCTTCGGATGGAGAAACCCCAAGGGTAAGACAGAAGAAGGCATAGATACGTATAGATAGGTATGGGTATGGGTATGGGGCGGTAAATTCATGACCACATCATCCTTGATCTTACAGGGGAAATTGAACGAACGGAGTCGGCCGGGTTGCTTAGCTCAACCATATCAGGCTTTATCCTCACGTCGTGGCATATCTTGCCTACAACAATAACGACCCCGTCCCCTTTACATTGGCATTAGCAAAGTCTATCAGGATGGGTAGATGGCAATAAGAGCATCCGGAGAAATCGCTGAGACTCTACGGAGTAGCCGAGTCACTGATCTCCGAATGGGATGTTGGGAGGGTTCTGAAGGAGGGAGGCAGGTATGATACGCATTCCTGAGTGTGACACGTCAACCATGGTCCGGAACCGACCACAAAATATCTCAAATCAGAGGGGTATAAGGGCACACAGACCAAACACAATGAGAATAATAATATAGTGTACCGTAATACCAATCCATGGGAAACCCCCACCGGGCAGGCCGTCTCCCTAATTACACTAGATACTATCCATCCCTTGGGCTGGTAATAGCATCTGGCTAGGGAATAATGGCTACCGTCGTCCTCACTAGCCTAGTCTAGGGAAATCATGCAATGCTCACTTCCCTAGCCCCGATCATGCCCAGTTTAGATCACATGCGCCCACCAGCTTACGGGTCGAGCTTTTCCGGACTTCGGGGACCCAGCCTGTACGGTCCGCAGGAATGCGGGTGAAAATGGGATAGTCTGTCTGTCTGGGCTCGGTGGGATGGGGAGGACACCCCTCTCTCCCCGAGGCTATCGATGGCTATCCCTTGTGCTTTCCTCGTCGTCGCCCCGAATATGCATTCAAATTGTTGTGGCTCATATTGCCGAGCAGATGTCAAGCACGGTTGTCAATCAGCTGCAGCTTCGTCTGCAGTACTTATGTCAGGCTGTAGTGCCACAGTACTTTGCACCCGGCTAATTAGACGTTCAATATTCCATCTTGTAGAATTTCCAGATCCGCTAGATTTTCTTTTTTTTTTTCTTGGCCCTCTTTTGTTCCTTTTCCGCGTCGTCTCCTTTGTCCGCTTTGCTCCGTACTGATCCCTGGCAAGTGTCATGCAATTTCCAAATGGGGTTGTTGATGAGGACGTGGTGACCCCTTCATTGCCAGCCATCATTGCCATGAGTGGTTGAGCCTCACTCGACCGCTCTCCAGACTAAGTAGATCGAGCTTTATTACTGCATCAACAGACGAGCAAAAGGGTGTTGACAGATTGACAACAGTAGCCATGAAGAGCAAGCACATGGCTCGAAAATTCCCTGCAAGTCATCGGGCGCAACAAGCAAGAGAAAAGAGTACATACATACTCCGTAGATGCTACATTGAGAAAGTCGAGTCCCGAGCAGCGCTCAGTATTCTGGAATGTCATGTGACTAGGGGTATTCCTGCTGGAGCAACAGCTGATCGATCGGCCAAATCCGCGTAGATCTTGAACGCCAAACTGATCTAGATCGCAAGCATTTCCATACGCGCAGTTCTTGCAGAAACGCCTTTTTTCCATCAATATCTGCTTGATCCAGATGATATGCGTCACTAGCCCATACTGTACCGAACTCGATTATCTGGATAAGTAGAGAACGAGCCTTGTTTATCTGCTGCAATGGACGATGCAGAGGTTGATCATACTAAACCAATCCCGGCCTACTACTGCTGTTATCTGCTGCGCTCAACCAAAAAGCACACTTCCCTGTATATTGGCTCCACTCCACATCCTGCCAGGCGACTTGCGCAGCACAATGGAGATTCCAAAGGTGGCGCTCGCAAAACAGCCAAGGACGACAAAAGACCGTGGGAAATGGTCTTGCTCGTCGAGGGCTTTACGAGCCGCGTTGCTGCGTTGCAGTTCGAGTAAGCAACTATGAACACATCACCGCACTCCTGTTACACTGCAGTTCTAATAGCATTGTAGGTGGGCGTGGCAGAACCCAAAGATGTCTTCGCAGCACCCGGCGAATCGCCACCAGATCGACTTAGAGACTGGCGAAGCGACAGGCACCTCAGGGATTCAGCCTAGTACCGAAACCAGCAAGGCTAAGCATCGAGGTCGTGGTTCCCGGAGATCCTTGAAGGCCCATTTAGAAGATCTGCATCTTTTCTTACGTTCGACCTATTTTTCGAAATGGCCGCTAAGATTACGATTCTTCAGCAGAGACGTCTACCAGCTGTGGACGACATGGTGCGACCGCGTTGATACCTTGCTTCCCGATCATGTCCGGACCATTCTGGATGGGGACTGTCCTAAGGACCATCTGTCATGGACCGACGAGCCGAGAGTCCGAAGCGTTGAACATATCAAGGTCGACTACAGTCATATCTATGACTACGTAGAGAAGTCCCATTTCTTGCTGGATGATCCCAGCGATTTGCGTTGCAATTTATGCCATGAAAAGGTTGTTCCCAATGAAGAACTAGCTGTAGTTTGCCCCCGGGCAAGCTGCTACTGCATCAGCCATCTATTATGTCTGTCGGCCAGATTTCTGGAGCACGCCGAGGAGCCCGAGCAGCTCGTTCCGATTGATGGAAAATGTCCTCTATGTAATCAGGTCATCCAATGGTCGACAATGATGCGGGAACTGAGCCTTAGAACTCGAGGACCAAATGAGTCACGTGCCATTTTGCGAAAGGCAAAACGAGGCCGTGCAAAGGCGCCTGATCCTATCCATGAAACAAAAGCCATTGATAAAGTAGCCAGCGCCTCCGAAAACCCAGGCAGCCGAGCTGCATGCGTCGAGAGTGCGTCAGTTGGCGTCAGCGACGGTCTCAATGTGGACCATCATGACGACGCTAGTTTGGATGAAAATTGGGCGGAGTCGTTAGACCTGGATCCGAATTTCGATGAACTCTTGAACCGCCCAAAGGACCATAATATGGAGTCGTCTAGGGTGGAGATCATCATAGACGACAGTGACTGCGAAGACATGGAGGAGCTGGGATGATTCTCTTATTTGCTTCGCAGCGTTTCTCGCTATTCCTCCTTGGGAGGAAGTTAAGCTGCAATTGACACGAATCGTTTCAATGGCCCAATGGCGTCCAAGCGAGCTATGCAGTCCATCACGCTCTTCTCGATGTCTACCGAAACAGCTTCAAATGACCTGCCAGCATCGATCACGCGAATGTCGCCGCTGCGTTGGACACGGAAGATGGTTTGGAACAGTTCCCGCACCCGGGTTTGCATGGTCTCATTCTCATAGCGTTCTGCACCGAAGCCACCGCGCTTGGCCGCTTCGTCCGGAGCGATACTCAGGAAAACGCACAGGTCAGGCTGGGGCAGCCCGATCTCCGGGGTCCAAGCCCACTCCAGGGACAAGGTGGGATTGGCCTTGGCGGCCGAGTACACGGCACCTGAATAGGAATAGCGGTCCACGATGACGGTGATGCCCGCTGCTATATCCTCCTCAATAGCCTGAGCAATTTCCCAGCGGTTGGCAGAGAAGAGGAGATGGATGGAATGGTCATCCAACTGTGACTGGCCACGTAGATAGCTATCAATGAGCTTTCCAATGGGAGTGGTCCGGTCTGCGGAAGTGTGGATTAGAGCGGTGCTCACGAGGACAACTAAAACAGGGAGGGGAGCTACCTGGGAAGCGAATGTACTTGACTGAATGGCCTAGTTCTTGTAGTTTCTGGTGTAGAGATTCGCACTGACTGGACTTGCCCGCGCGGTCCAGCCCCTCGACCACAATGAGAGCCCCGCGTCGCGCGGGAGGAGCTTGTGCCGCCATGTTGTGCAGTGTGCAGGGGGATCAATTGACAACCGGAGAGTTTCACAGAGTGAAAATGACAATGAAGAGCCTCAGGAAAACTCAATTCTTTATCCGTAACTCACCACAGATACGGAAGAGGAGCAGAGGTGTGCTATGAAAGAGAGATGAAAGTGGCTTGACGCGCGGGTCGCGACGAGCTGGAGGGGATCTTGCCCGTTTGGGAATGGCGTCCATCGTGACTCTATCTGCTCCATTCTGGGATTGTCAGTTGGCGATACATCTTCTGTAATGTAATCCAGAACAGCAATATTTCTCTTTTACAATACAATCAATACTAGACACATTTATTCATCCACTGTTTTGAAAATTTCGGGATAGTCCTAGCCAGACATTGGGAAATACATCCAATACTAGCGAACCCACCATCTATATCGAATTATCGATACCAACTACTAGTGGGGAAGCACATTTCATCGGCACGCGCCGCGCTCATCTTCTCCAACAACGGCCGGATTCTCTCTCTCCTCTCTCCACCATCCCCATCCCTTCGTCAAACCTCCACTCCTCAGGGTCGCCATGGGCTCAGAGTCTTCCCCGCAACCCTCGAATGAGATGCTCACCTTCAATGCTACGGCCTCCGTCCTGACTCCCCGACTGGGAAGACTGGCCTTTGCCGGCAGAAAACCCATCTCCACCCCACACTACATCCCTCTGGCCTCCCGAGGCGTCGTTCCGCATATTGCCCATGATGTGCTGCGTGATCACACAGACATCGGCAGTTTATATGTCGGTCTCGAAGATTGTATGCCCTCCTCTCCCTGTTCGGAGGTCGAATTCTCGCTAACACGAATGCCCATCGGGGCCCAGATCAGTCGTAGAAAGACAAAGCCAAAAACATCCGCCTCCGGTCTATACCATTCCCACCGCACACGATGAATCGGCCCTGCGCAAATTCGTCGCTCTCCCCGATGATCTCCTCTTGATCATGGGCGCACGTCGGGAGCCCCCGATCAAATGCCCTCCGGCCAACACCCCCAACTCCGTCGCCATCTACACCTCCGTCGGCTTCAGACAGCTCGAAGCTACCCAGTACGTCGACGCCGTGCAGAAGCTCAACCCGGACATCGTCATCGGACTGGCAGATCTCGTACTGGGACACACCCCTGGCAACAAGAGACGCGGCAAGATGGTGGATCGCACCCACGCCTTCACTACGCATGCCACAGGACTACTCTACGGCAGCACAGTGCCAGAGAACACCCGGTCAAAGTCAGCCTACTTCGCTCCCGTCCTCCCTCTCGAGAACGCCCAGCAGTCAATCTACATGGACGACCTCGAGACCGAGCTCCGACCATATATCTCCGGCCTGGCCCTCTACGAATCGGCTTCTCTATCAGCCATCTCCGAACCACTCGGAGACCTCCCCCGCCTCCTCTACAGCGCACCGGCAACTCCCCACGATATCCTCCGCGATGTTTCCCTCGGAGCAGATCTCCTCACCATCCCCTTCATGGGCGTCTGCTCTGACGCCGGCATCGCCCTGGACTTCACCTTCCCATCGCCCAACACCCCCACGACCATTACCCAACCTCATGACCTCGCCTTCGACCTCTGGTCCCCATCCCACACCATCGACACCTCCGCACTCTCCAAATCCTGCGAATGCTACACCTGCCGCAACCATCACCGCGCATACATCCACCACCTCCTAACCGCCAAGGAAATGCTCGCCTGGACCCTCCTCCAAATCCACAACCACCACGTAATGGATACCTTCTTCGCCGCCATCCGCGAAAGCATCTCCCGGGGTACCTTCGAAGCCGACACCCAGACCTTCCAACGGACCTACGTCTCCGAAGCACCCAAACCTACCGGCCAAGGTCCACGGTACGTTTTACACACCCTATCTATCCCCTAAATCCTCATAACCAACCCACAACAACTAACAAACAATTAATTGATATCTTATAGTCTCCGCGGCTACCAACTCCCCGCCTCCGGCCCCAACCAACCGCGCCGTAATGCCCGCGCATACGGTAAGCTCGACGACGCAGTGTCGAAGTTCGCCGAGTCGCAGTCTTCTCTCGCGACGCCGGATACAGGCGCCGAGGGACTTGAGGAACATGGATTCGGGATGAAGGAGGTGTCGTAGTTTGATTTGTTTCATTCATAAATGTCTAGATGCATGTGGATGCAATTTACAAGTAGATAGTTATGACATAGCATAGCGTGGATTCGTGGATGAATGATTATATACAGAAGACTTATATATGACCGTTTCTCCAAGACGCTTGAATGTAGTAGTTGATTTGAGCAAAAGGTATGAGATTGCAGATTCTATTTTTCATTTCAACTCATGATATGATGCAAATACATACATACATACACACGTCCTCTTCCGTCATTCATTCCCTCTTCCATTGTCGAATTAGATTTGATGAAAATGAGAAAGATTCAATTATCAAATGAAAACAAACCCCTCACCATTTGTATAGTAGTAGTACTGTGCTTTACTTACTGTGGAAATCCAAATGAACCAAATCCATCATCCCCGACGCACCACGCACCACCCAGACCAAGCCAGCGGCCAGAAGTAGTCCATAGTTTAGGTTAATACATCCATCATATTAGAAAAATCACTGGGAATTCGCCAACTCGCGCCACATCCACTTCTTCTCATCTTCCTCTTCCTCCGAACCAGCTTCCGTGCCGGCGCCGAACTCTTGACCCACGACACACACAAGCCAGACATCGTTCTTGGTCTCGTCCAGGAAGCGCTCCGTTGCCGAGTTCTTGGGGTAGATGCGGCGCCATTCATCCCAGATGCGGTAGGCCTCGTCTCCCCAGGCGCGGAAACTGACTTCCTCGATGATTGTGGGGGTGACGATCTCCTTGCCGCGGAAGACACCCCAGGTGACGGCGTTTACGTTGGCTGGATTGATGTCGATCGGGTCCGGGTCGTCGGGGTTGGGGCCGGGGAGGGAGCATTCGAAGTCGCCCTTGACGTTGGTGGCGAACCAGGCGAGCTTCTCGTGGCCGTGTTTCTGGAGGAGGGGCTTGAGGACATTGAGGTAGTCTTTGTTGGGGCAGAAAAATTCCACGAAGGGCTTCTGGAAGACAAATCCCTCTCCCGGTGGACCCCAGCCGAAGACGGGGTCGTCGCTACGGACGCCGTTGAGGGCGGGTTGCGAGGCCAGAGTCCACCAGCCTTTCTTGTCGATCAGAGTTAGAAGCTCGGGTTGGATCACGGCTGTCTCGGCGTTAAGTCCATTGCTGTCCTCTTCGGCGCCTCCTTCGGACCAGGGGACCATGTGGAGCTCGCCGGAGACGTGGCGGCGGAATAGGGTGCTAATGTCTTCGCGGGTAACCGGGTAGCCCCAGATGCGCCGGGCAGTGGCAGCGGAAACGTGCAGCGAGGGACCGTAACCGTCGATCTCACCGAAAGCGGGCGAGCGTGCATCACCCCAACGTCCGTTGGGGAAGTCATCCCATGTGGCCTCTCTGCCGAGGGCACCGAGACCTTCGGAGATCTGGAGGGTTGTGCTGCGGTCCGGCGGCATGGCGGGAAGGCCGGCGCTCAAGGCGGAGGCCTCATGTGTTATGGAGTCTTTCGAAGAGGGTTCGGAGATCTGTACCTTGTCGACGATGACACGGTTGTGAGGGATGGAGCTGACGGAGGAGCGGCGGCTGGCCAGGGTGCGGATGGGAGCACCGTTCGGGGCGATGTACGACGACGAATCCATAGCAGACAAGTTACCTCCATCGACCAAGGCATCGGAGTCATCGATCTCTGTGTAGGGGGGAATGAGTTCGCAGCGCTCGAGAATAAAGGACACCGTCTTCTCCAGGTTCAGGGTGTAGAAGTGGAATCCGCGGAGACCAGGTGAGACAAGATCGCGGATGCCATACACGAGATCAGTGATGATGTCGACACCAATGCGCTTCACAGCATCGTCATCATGCTTCACCTCCTCCAGCTTGGAGAGGACTTGCGGAGGGATCTTGACATGACTGAGCTTCGTGACTCTCGTCAGAATCTTGTAACTGTGGATAGGCATCAGACCGGGGACGATGGGAATGGTCTTGAATACGCCAGATTCATGGTTCCGTAGCATCGTCTCAAACTTGGTGTATGCCTCCAGGTCGTAGGTCAACTGAGTCATGATGAAGTCCGCACCGGCCTGCGTCTTCTCGATCAAGTAGGGCAGGTCCCTGGCCGGATCCTGAACATCCTGGAAGTTATCGGCGGGGTGACCCTCGGGATATGCCGCAACACCGATGCAGAAGTAGTCGCCATACTGCTTGCGAATGTAGCGCACCAAGTCGACGGCAAATGTAAAGTCCTTGTTGCTGTCATCCTCGCCGTGCATGTTGTATTCTTCGCTCCGGGGCGGGTCACCGCGCAAGGCCAGAATGTTTCTGATTCCAAGCACCTTGGCTTCCTCCAGAGCTTCGTCGACCAAGGCGCGACTCATATTCGTGCAGGTAAGGTGTAGACATGTCGTCAACTGCAGTTGGCGCTGACAGATCTCCGCCAGCTCCAGCGATCTCGCGGCGGTGCTTCCTCCAGCGCCCCAAGTGACCGTCACGAACAACGGGCGCAAAGCCTGGGCCATACGCTCCAACCGCGCTTGTAGATTGGCGAAACCCTAGATAGACCGCAAGCATCTTGTTAGCGACCGATATATAATAATACTAGATTTGAGTCACTCCAATGCGGGGAGTTGTAGGAGGGTTGGTTGCCCCACCATCTTTGTCTTGGGAGGGAAGAACTCCAGAGAAAAGTAATTGGCATCTGGCGGCAAAGCCGCGATCTTGTCCGTGATCTTCTCCATGATGAGCGCAGTCTCAGCAGCAGAAACAGCGACACGATGGCGGACGGAGGAGAGGGAGTGGAAGGCAAGGAAAGAAGAAGGCGTGAAGGACGGAGGTGGGGAAGAACAAGACTTCCTCCCACCGATGGAGCCTCCGGAAAAGGCACCATGACGAACTGCCGACCCCATCGCTGCCAGCATCATTCTCGTCATGAACTGGGCCCAATTATTATCATCCCGGCCGATCGGTGGAACGTCCTGCTACTAGAGGCCTGGGCAATCATGTCGCCGATCGGAGAGTGAATATCCGGTGCTTAGGATTGCCGGGTCTCTTTCTCTCTCTCCATCTGCTCTGTATCGTTCGCGTCTTGATATGTTCGGGTAGTACTAGTAGTACTCTTCTTCCCTGACATTATCCCATCGGCCTGTTCAATGACTTCCCAGGCTTGTAGTAACGATAGGCCTTCAGGGAATGGGTAATTGCATATCCCGGATGAACATATGCATGCAAGCCCCGGTCGTAAACTCGGTCAACAGCCCCCCTTGTTCTGCGCATAGATTATCTCTCCTTTGCAAACACAGCAAACATCCACTCATCATTATCTCCGATGGCCTCGCGATATCGGCTATACAACCACCAGTTGATTGGATTACAATTGTGATATACAACACCAATATCTCCCTGACTTGCTGGTTGGTACCTGACCGGGAATCGCTTCCACCCCCTGCATAGGGCCGACAGCTTCACTCCCCAACTTTATCTAGTCAAAATGCCACCACCGCGCTCTATCCTCCAAACCTTCCGTCTCTTCTCACAGCGCAAACCCTCCGCCCACCGTCTCTTCTCAACTCCTCCTCCTCCCCAACCCCCTTCCGCCAAAGATGTCCGGTCGCGTCTACACAGACTAAATGATCGTCTCCCAGCCTCGGTCCGTCCCTACACCGCGCCTCTTCTTGGAGCTCCTGCAACGCACATCACATCCTTCCTCATCCTGCACGAGATCACCGCCGTGATCAGTCTATTTGGATTGGTAGCTGCCTTTCATTACAACAATGGACTGCTCCCGGATATGTCCTCCAACCAATTGTTCGAGGAGCAGACGCAGAAGTTCGGACGTTGGCTGCGGAAGAAAGGCTGGGTGGAGGAGGTGGATGTGGATACTGTAGCTGAGGAGTATGGAGGGGACGGTGCACACCACCATGGCGAGGGGGAACGGTCAGCGCTGTCAGTCCAAGGGGAACGGGAGGGAGTGAAGTTGATTTTGGAGTTTGCAACGGCTTATCTAATTACCAAGGCCTTAATGCCGCTCCGCATCGTGGTGAGTGTTTGGGCTACCCCGTGGTTTTCTAGGGCCGTGCTTTCGCCATTGGGAAGGGGTGCTAGAGGACTGTTTGGGAAGAAATGATTGTCGGATCAGGCACCCTGTATGTATGTATGATATAGTGTTAGACGGGTTTAAGCCTTGTACGGAGTACTACTAGCGTGGCATATAGATCATGAATATATTTTATATTGGTATTTCTAGTTCTCATGAGATCTTGGAGTTTAATATCACCCGAGGTACTCTACATCTCAACTCGTAGCGGGATGCAGGCGCTCAGGCGCAGGACTGGCCGGAATAATTTAGGCCTTCTCGTAGATCCAGTCGAACTGGGAGTGCTTCCACTGCTGGAGCTCGCTGGGGGAGAACCAGAGGGAGATCTCCTTCTGGGCGTTCTCGACGGAGTCGGAACCGTGGCAGACGTTGCGGCCAACGTCCTATTCAACTGTCAGTGAGATGTCTCGATCATGAGGGGATCAGAGTCCTTACGATGGCGTAGTCACCACGGATGGTGCCGGGGGCGGAGGCAAGGGGGTTGGTGGCACCGAGGATGGTGCGGCCGGTCTTGACGGCGTCACGGCCCTCCCAGACCATGGCGCAGATGGGGCCAGAGAGCATGTCTAAAGGCAAGATTAGTATGCTGATGTGTGTCAATGTGCAACACGTAGTAGTTACATACAGGAGACGAGACCGGGGAAGAAGGGCTTCTCCTTGAGGTCAGCGTAGTGCTTCTCGAGGTGCTCACGGCCGGGAGAGCAGAGCTTCAGAGCAACGAGCTTGAAGCTGGGACAACGTCAGTATCTAAGCTCTTGCAATGTCATTCTGTGAGGTAATACGAACCCACGGTTCTCGAAGCGAGAGATGATGGGGCCAACGAGTCCGCGCTGGTAGGAGGGTCAGTACTGGTTTATTCCGGAGATGCCGCAGATGCATCGAAAAGCGACGATTCGAGGCGTGAATCAGTCATACCTGGACACCGTCGGGCTTGATGGCAATGAAGCTAGATCAATTGGTTAGTCTCATGATTGCAATGAGGGGTTGATGAGGATCTAGAAAGCAAGTTCCCTGAGGACCCCCAGAGAGAACGAGAAAGACAGAGAAAAGAGCAATGGAGGGGTGGAGGGGTTGAAGGAAAGCAGAGAAGGGAGATGGAATCAACTTACGTCTGCTCGGAAGACATTTTGATGGATGTGAGAGTATAACAATGAAGTCACTGAGATACGATTGAGGGAACAAGAAGAAGAAAGAGAAGAAGCAGAGCCGGTGGTGAGTTGGCGAAAAATATAGGGAGGGACCGCGAAAGCCAGTGTGGGGCAGCCAGAAGGAGGGGCAATACTCTCTCTCTGAGACAACTTACGGGCTGGTTGACTGATTCCCGTGGGTGCCTGCATGCCTAACTGCCTGATCGATGACTGAAAAAAGTACTTCCTGCCTGAGGCCAGAACAAGTCTAATCCCCAGCCGCCAAAATAAGACTAGCGCACACACTAAGCCTAACTGGGAGCTTCCCCCCATCTCAGCTCCATCTGGCCAGCCTGGAACTATCGAGTGCCCTTGTTGTACTACTTGCATTATATTATCGTATCTAGTTGCATTTTCCTTCTTCTATCCCAGCACATAACGGCTTTGTGTGTGGGACCTTCACCTCTGGTAGATGCAGGTCGACACACTAGTGGTTGCTGATAGTTCTTCATTCAGAGGTTGAGTGTCTCTGATTGACTACTGAGCTCTCCCATCATGGCCGGAACTCGGCCAATGTCCAACCGTTGGACTCTATTGCTGTCCTTGGTGATCCTACTCGGATGCCTTGTCATCCCCGGAGGTAAGCCTATCCAATCATACACCCATCGGTTAGACTCGCCTTGACATCTAACAACACCGCATAGTCACCGTGAAACACGAGAACTTCAAGACATGTTCTCAATCGGGCTTCTGTAAGCGGAACAGAGCATTCGCCGACGATGCTTCCGCCCAAGGTCCATCCTGGACCTCCCCCTACGAGCTCGACTCATCCTCTATTCAATTCAAAGATGGCCAATTGCACGGAACTATTCTCAAATCCGTCTCCGCCAACGAAAAAGTCAAGCTGCCTCTTGTTGTCTCCTTCCTCGAGTCCGGCGCCGCCCGAGTTGTTGTCGATGAAGAGAAGCGATTGAACGGCGACATCCAGCTTCGACACGATAGCAAAGCACGCAAGGAACGCTACAATGAGGCAGAGAAATGGGTGTTGGTGGGTGGCTTGGAGTTGAGCAAAACCGCGACCTTGAAACCTGAAACCGAGACTGGCTTCACTAGAGTCTTGTACGGTCCGGATAACCAGTTCGAGGCTGTCATCCGCCACGCCCCTTTTAGCGCCGACTTTAAGAGGGACGGCCAGACCCACGTTCAATTGAACAACAAGGGCTACCTGAACATGGAGCATTGGCGCCCTAAGGTAGAGGTCGAAGGTGAGGGTGAGCAGCAAACCCAGGAAGATGAAAGCACTTGGTGGGACGAGAGTTTTGGTGGCAACACCGACACTAAGCCCAGAGGCCCCGAGAGTGTGGGACTGGACATCACCTTCCCCGGCTACAAGCATGTTTTTGGAATTCCTGAGCATGCTGACTCTCTCTCCTTGAAGGAGACTCGGTAAGCTAGTCGCGCAGTGACATTTTCAAGCTCACAAAACTAACAACGTTCCAGAGGTGGTGAAGGGAACCACGAAGAGCCCTACCGCATGTACAATGCAGATGTGTTCGAGTATGAGCTGAGCAGTCCCATGACCTTGTATGGTGCAATCCCGTTCATGCAGGCGCATCGCAAGGACTCCACCGTCGGTGTCTTCTGGCTGAATGCTGCAGAGACCTGGGTGGATATTGTCAAGTCTACCTCGTCTCCCAACCCTCTTGCTCTCGGCGTGGGCGCCACCACTGATACCCAAAGTCATTGGTTTTCGGAGTCCGGTCAGCTCGACGTGTTCGTGTTCCTTGGTCCTACCCCCCAGGAAATCAGCAAGACCTACGGTGAACTCACCGGCTACACTCAGCTGCCTCAACAATTTGCCATTGCTTATCACCAGTGCCGCTGGAACTACATCACTGATGAGGATGTCAAGGAGGTCGATCGCAACTTTGACAAGTACCAGATCCCCTACGATGTCATCTGGCTGGACATCGAGTATACCGATGACAGAAAGTATTTCACCTGGGATCCTCTGACTTTCCCTGATCCGATCAGCATGGAGGAGCAGCTCGATGAGTCGGAGCGCAAACTCGTCGTTATCATTGATCCGCACATCAAGAACCAGGACAAGTACAGTATCTCCCAAGAAATGACGAGCAAGGACTTGGCCACTAAGAACAAGGACGGTGAAATCTACGACGGTTGGTGTTGGCCCGGATCTTCTCACTGGATCGATACCTTCAACCCCGCCGCGATTAAATGGTGGATCAGCCTCTTCAAGTTTGACAAGTTTAAGGGAACGCTGTCCAACGTCTTCATTTGGAACGACATGAACGAGCCCTCGGTGTTCAACGGTCCCGAAACCACGATGCCCAAGGATAACCTTCACCATGGCAACTGGGAGCACCGTGACATTCACAACATTCATGGAATCACCCTTGTCAACGCCACCTACGATGCTCTTCTGGAACGCAAGAAGGGCGAGGTCCGTCGGCCTTTCATCCTGACGCGGTCGTATTATGCGGGTGCTCAACGGATGTCTGCTATGTGGACAGGTGATAACCAGGCTACTTGGGAGCACTTGGCCGCTTCCATCCCTATGGTCCTGAACAACGGTATTGCAGGCTTTCCCTTTGCCGGTGCTGATGTAGGTGGTTTCTTCCACAACCCTAGCAAGGAGCTTTTGACCAGATGGTACCAAGCTGGTATTTGGTACCCCTTCTTCCGTGCCCACGCGCATATTGACACCCGCCGGAGAGAGCCGTATCTGATTGCCGAGCCACACCGGTCTATCATCTCCCAGGCCATCCGCCTGAGGTATCAGCTCCTCCCCGCCTGGTACACCGCTTTCCACGAAGCTTCCGTGAACGGAATGCCGATCGTGCGGCCGCAGTACTATGCTCACCCTTGGGATGAGGCTGGCTTTGCCATCGATGACCAGCTTTATCTCGGCTCCACTGGTCTTCTTGCTAAGCCCGTTGTCTCGGAAGAGGCCACCACGGCAGACATCTACCTTGCTGACGACGAAAAGTACTATGACTACTTTGACTACACTGTATACCAGGGAGCCGGAAAGAGGCATACGGTGCCAGCTCCCATGGAGACTGTGCCGTTGCTGATGCAAGGTGGCCATGTTATCCCCCGCAAGGACCGTCCTCGCCGCAGCAGCGCCTTGATGAGATGGGACCCGTATACTCTTGTTGTGGTCTTGGATAAGAACGGCCAAGCCGATGGCTCTCTTTACGTGGATGACGGAGAGACGTTCGACTACGAGCGTGGAGCCTACATCCATCGTCGGTTCAGCTTTCAGGAGTCTGCTCTGGTCTCGGAGGATGTTGGCACCAAGGGTCCCAAGACGGCCGAGTACCTGAAGACCATGGCCAACGTTCGTGTTGAGCGAGTGGTGGTGGTTGATCCTCCCAAGGAATGGCAAGGTAAGACCAGTGTGACTGTCATTGAGGATGGAGCTTCAGCGGCTTCGACGGCCCCTATGCAGTACCACAGCCAATCCGACGGCAAGGCTGCATATGCGGTGGTGAAGAACCCCAACGTCAGCATTGGCAAGACATGGCGGATTGAGTTTTAGACTAGACGGGGATGTGGAAAGAGGAGCCATACATATATGCAATAGGTTCGTATATCAGGCATCAATGGTATTTATTTATGACGCGTTCAGATGCCTTTACATCTTTGTTGAGTGGTTTTTGTAGTAGTCCATAGACTAGCAGTGTAGTGAAGGATGGAACCCCAACCCCAAAGAGGAAAAAGGAAAGGCGACTCCCGGAGTGGGGCTGAGTCAGCGCCAGGGACGTGGCCGCCGATCAATAAATTTAATTGATGGAGTCCCAAATCTGGCGGGAAAAAAAAGAGGCCGCATTCGGGTCGCTTTTGGCATTGAACTTTCTTCAGGACTTGTCGGCACGCAGTTCCTGGGCTTTCGGCATCATACCTCCTCTGTTCTACCAATCTACCCTTGTGGAGGTCTCTTGTCACTGCCAACGGCTTGCCTTCTCATTCCGAACTCAACATCTCCACAAGCTTTGCCCCTGACGCCGCTGCTGCTCCGTCGCAGTCTCCGGAAACCGCAAGCTCCGCCCGTTCACTGCCCCGTCGTCGACACAAACCGACCGAGCAATCGCTCCTCACCCATCGTAAAATCACCCTATATTCGCTATACTCTTATCACAACGATAGCGACGGGTAATTGAGTTCACGATGTATCTTGTGTCGCAAGCCCTGGAATATGGGGCTCCCCTCTTGTACGTCTTTCGCTCTCATGGACGCATCGTAATGGAACGCTAACCGGCCGCTCGAATTCAACAGCCTCATTACCTCTCCAGTGACTTCCTATGCGGACCAGATCCTCAGTATTCACCGGTCTAGGAGCTCGGCTGGATTTTCGCTGGATATCCCTTTGATTATGCTCGTCGCGTCCGTCCTGAAGTAAGGCTGCCAATTCAGGAATTGCTGTCCTTGGAGAGTCTCGGTGTTAACAACTTGTGCTAGGATCTTCTACTGGTTTGGCGCTCTCTACTCTTTTTCGCTTCTGATCCAGGCCGTTATCACGGTCGGGGTGCAGGTAGTCTTGTTGAAGGTTGCATTGGACAATCGGCCATCGCCCGGGCTGAAGAACAGCGTTGAACATGTTCCGTTCAGCAGTGTGGACAATGGTGGATTTGCGAGACCCTACGATTTCTGGCAGTGGAAGAGCGCGAAACCGTACGTCTACTCTATCCGTCCTTCTAAGGAGACCATTTGATTACGGTGAAGACTAACCAGAGTCGTCGATAGTTACTGGATGTTCTTGGCATATTTTGTCGGCGCGCTCACCTTCATCCAAGTCCTTCTACCTCCCCTTGCCAACTCGGAATCCTACATCGGTCTTCTCGGATATGTCGGACTCGCCGTGGAAGCCACGCTGCCTCTTCCCCAGATTTTCAAGAACCACAAGTCCCGTTCGTGCGCAGGATTCCGGCTCTCGGTGCTCGCAGCTTGGATTATCGGTGATATCATGAAGCTGAGTTACTTCTTCTGCAGTCAGGAGGTGATCCCCTGGGCCTTCCGGATGTGTGGTCTCTTTCAGTGTG